TTTCAAATTGATTTTGTGCAAAAACAATTATATTTTTCCCATTTTTGGCGCTGTTAGAACCACCACAAGGTAATTTTATGTAGTCCTGTGAAGTTTTGTTGAAATCGGTTGAAAAATGTAGGACATCCGATCCAATATATAAACGTTACAGACACACACACACACAATCTGCATTTTATAATAAGTAAGATGTGTGTATATATATATATATATATATATATATATATATATATATATATATATATATAAAACACAAATACATTGGCACACACACATATATTCATATATACATTTATGTACATACATGTTAGTAGGCTATATAATAATAGCTCAGAGGTTACAGGTTATTTATAAAGCTTTTCCACTTATATATATATATATATATATATATATATATATATATATATATATATATATATATAAATAAATGATACATAAATTTTTATATACCATAGCAATGTTATGAAAATTAATGACAAAATGGCAAAACCTTTTTTGTGTAACAAGTTTCATCTTTTAGGACTTCATTGGACAAAAGTCATGTTTACATTGATGGGATGACACATGAAGGGAAGGGGACACTGGAATTTCAAAATTTAAAATTTTTTTCTAATTTGTAATCCCCAAAACACGTTTTCTAATTTGGCATATGCAGGATAAAAATGTATTTATTAAATTCCTTTGGTTAAATTGTGATCTATAAAAGAAATGAATCAGATATAGAATTAACCAAGAGTCACTAATCCTATTTTTTAAAAGAAAGATTTTTTTTTTTATCTTTTTCATTTGTCAATAAGGAAGTTCAAAAGTTCATTTAAAATAAATCTGCCAACCTAACATCTATAAAGGGAGAGAACTCGTCTTTAAGAAAGAAAACTGCACATGGTCAAATTAACCTGGAAAATAAAGGTTATAATGTAGTGTGCAGGAAATAAAAGATATATGGGGAAAATTACATCATCACCTAAAATAAAAATTACATCATAGCCTAAAATAAAAATTACATCATAGCCTTAAATAAAATGATAAATAATGCATATGTTTAACTTAAAAGTTAAAGAAAAAAATATTTCAAATGCCTGGCTTCATTCATAAAGCATCAACATCTATTCTGATTTTTTTCATTAAATCAGCTGCAAAAACATTATCAACGGTATACAAACTGCCCATTTTTAAGCTTTTATTCAATTAAATTGGCAAAATTTAATGACAAACTTTTTGTTTTTAATAGCTTTAATTTTATTTATATACAAAAACTTACTTTAATAGGTTAATTTGGGTGAAAAAGCAGGTTCTTCAATATAGAGTTCATATTTTCTATATAGCAATTGTAGCTATGGTTAACACGCAAGAATTATCTCTGCTAGACTAATCTGAAATTCAGTCTGACGTGATAGATGCTTGGACATTCATGTATTTTTTTTAGATACATGACTGACAAGCCAGAATATTTTTCCTGCAGTAAGTTGGTATTTTTTCCTGTGGTAGACTGGTTGCCAACCAAAGTTAAAGGACCCAGTCTGTCCTGCTATTTAACCCATAGCTGAAGGGAGAAGAGATGGATTCATATCTTCCCCAAGGATATTTATGCTCTCGGAATTCTTATTCTGAGCTGATATCCATTACATTAAAACATATATATATATATATATATATATATATATATATATATATATCAGTTGTAGTTATGGTTAACAAGCAGATATGTCTGCTAGACTAATCTGAACTTAGTATTCACAATGAAACATATCAGCTTAACTGTTGGATATTAATATATAAAAGTGGATCAATAAGCCTAACGCATAATTATAACCTGAATTTTGATATTAAATTTTCAGTGTTATGTTCATATCTATATTTTTTACCACTGAATCAAGGGCAGTGAGAAGGAAGGCGATGATGTTAAAAATTCACTATTTGTTTTATAAAATAGGTTATGATCTTGATGTACTTATGAATGTGTAGGTGTGAGTGAGAGAGAGCGAAATAAGATATGATTGAATCAATACGTCTATAGTCACAGTTATTAGCAAAATTTTGATCTGAAAATTTCACTGTATAATGTTATTAATGAAGAACCATTTAAGTTTATTCTAAAAATTTGCTCACCATTTCCAAAAAAGGTAAAATAAACATGACACAAAAAAAACAGTCTACTGGATTTTCACTGAGAAAAAAAAAAAAGATTTTAGAATATACATCACCAATTGTTGGACATTATTGAATACATGTATTAATATATATTAAATATCTATTGGATATTATTGAATATAAGTATTAATAAAAGTTTTGACTTTAAATATTTCTAAATACTTTGCCAAATTGCACCAAAACAATATTAAAAACTTTGATTTACTCAAAATTCAATTAATCATGATTTGAATACGTTTCGACTCAAGTGACATTTGACCCAAATATTTCAAGAAAAATCTTGTATTTAATGCTCATTAAGAAAAAGACAAAATATTTGTGACCTTGTTTTTGACTGAGACCAAAAATATTTGGATTTTTTTTTTGTGAAATTTTAAAAGGGCACGACTGTAAAATAGGTTTGTGATAGGGGAGAATAATAAATTAAAAAAAATAAAATTATACCTTGTGTCAAGTGTAGAAAGAGTCTGGAATATTATGAGATAATATTAAATATTTTGTCTGCAAAAGATATTTGTGCAAAAACTAAAGTTTGATGAAAAAAGAAAAGTAACAGTATTATTGAGGTAAAAAGCAAACTAAATATTTAAAATAATCAACCTTCAACAAGAAATGGCCAAAACATATACCTTCTTACAATTGGACAGAGGGATCACGGGAGGGTCCATCAACAAAACTCTGAAGTCAGAATGCTGACAATGACATCAATCAGCTAATTCACAAACATTTTACTTGTATTAATTATATATATATATATATATATATATATATTTTTTTTTTTTTTTAAGCGTTTCACCCCAAGCAAGGCGAGAAGCCACTAGGACGCAAGGGGTTACAGAAAATTTGGAGCAAGATCAGATAGGAGTGATAGAAGAAAGGATGAGGAGAAGGATAGTGGATAGGTCAAGGCAACTGGAGATGTTGATTGACATTACATTTGAATAGCTGGAGATTATAGCTCTCAGGGAAACTGGAATAGGGAAGGGAGTTCCACAGGCGAGAGGTGTAAGACATAAAGCTATTGGTGTAGAAGAGACGGCTACATTTAGGAGTTTCGACAGTGAAGGGGTGAGAGCGGGATGCCAGCCTCGTAGGGCGCTGGAACTCATGACGTCTGGGAACCAGCGAATGCAGCTCCTCGGAGCAATTACCATGAAAGTATTTGTAAAAAAGACAGAGAGAGACAATGGTGCGTCTGTGAGAAAGTGACTGTAGACGAGATGCCAGAGCAGGGCCAATTATATTGCATATCCGCCTCTGGAGCCTATCAAGAACCCCGAGGCAAACAGAAGGGGCTCCAGACCATATATGGCAGCAATACTCCATGCAAGGGCGAATTGTTGATTTGTAGATCTGGAGGATCGATCCCGGGGAGAAAAATTTCCTGGCGCAGCACAAGGAGCCAACTTCCCTTGCGGTGGACGAAGCAAGTGACTCAATGTATTTGTTCCATAAATATAGTTTTTAAGGTATGCTATATTTATGGGATAAAGTGCTCAATATCAGATAGAGCATATGTAAATATAAAAGTGAACATTAAAGCCAACTCTCAGAGACGACAGACTCTTTCATGTTAAAAACAATCGTCAAGCACCTAGTCTGATGATTGCATTTAGCATGAAACAGCCTGTCGCCTCTGAATGTTGACTTCAATGTTCACTTAATTTATATATATATATATATATATATATATATATATATATATATATGTAGATGTGCATGTGCCTATATATATATATATATACACACACACACATATATATAATAATTGTCACTTCTTTGCAGATTCTAATAGCGGCTTTTTGTTGAAAAGCTCAATTCTCTTCTGCTCAAAATCTCTCTAGCCAGATCTATCTCCAGCAACAGTTTGCCAGTCTTCAATACTAATGCCAGGTTACATTTAATTACATCCTTGAAACATTTTGGGGGCTCATAAGCAGGTTGACTTGTTCCAGCTCCCTATAAAATAATCTTTTGGGCAATCTGCCATCCTACATACATGTCATATGACCTGTCCAGCAGTGATTATGAAAAAGCAGTATCTCTATGCTGGCTATGTTTGAGCAATGAAGGTCTTCTGTGTCTGGTGTACAAGACTGGCAGTTGATGTCCAAGATTTGTCTCAAGCACTGATGGTGAAAAGGCTCTATGACCTTAATGTATATTCAATAGGTGTTCCATGCTTCTGAGGAATATATAAGAGTGGTTAGGTCAGCTATTTCAAAGATGCTAGTCTTTGTGCGTAAGGAGATGTTACAATCAGACCATAGTCTCTTTTCAAGATTTCTGAATGGTTGACTTGCTCGTTCCATGCAGTAATTCACTTCCACATCCAGTGAGCAGTCCATAGAGAGTGCACTGTGTAAGTATACAAATGTGTCATCTCCAGCCTGGATCCATTAATGAAAATGTTGGACTCTATGTAAGGCAGTCCAGGTGGAGGTGTGTACATGACAGACACACACACATACAACCTCACATGCACATTTATATACACACACCCTCACATACACACACACATACACATATATATATACATATATATATATATATATATACACACACACACACATACATACATATACATTACATGACAAAAACATTTGAAGAATGCATCAGTTGAAACATTTTGTAAAAATAACAAAAAAAAAGGGAACAAGATTGATGTGTGATTAGACTTTTCTTCATCTTATTGTTGCTTTTATTTTATCACAAATTTCCAGATCCTTAAAATAAGCAAATGTTAAATAGGAATAAGGAGCTTTTGCAACAAAACTTGAAGTCACATTGCACACCCAAGAAACTTCTCTTTCATGGACAACATCTTTAACCAATTCAGTCATGTCAGCTTAAAGAGAGACAAGATAGGTGCCACCAAAGTCAAGTAATGGAACTAATGAGAAATAAATCACATAATGACTAATTGCTCAATTGTAAAAATATCCAAAGAAAACAAAAACAAAAAAAAAAAAATATGACTTCCCAATCTGTTTTTGTAAAACAAAATAACAACTAAAATTTTTTTAGTCTCTCTAGTTTTTCTCTTAGAATATTTAAAAGAAAAAAAAAAAGAAATCTTTCACTTACTTTTGGACTTTTCCAGTTGTAGTGTCTTTCTCTTTTGACTGAAGAACAAAAAAAAAAATCATAAACATTTGGAAATAATATACACAGACACAAGCAATGCAGACCGAAAACAAACAGATACTTCACTTTGGTTATATCGTTATATGCAAAAGGTAATGACTAAACATTTCTTTTAAAGAAACAATGCTATCCATTATAAATTTTACAAGCTTTAGAAACAAAAGACTTAATTTTATTAAATGTTTATAACCAAAGAAAATTTAGAATTTTTCTAAGAACAAATCAACTCAGTATTGACCATTTTATTATGACATAAAATTTCCCTATACACACCAGTTCCCAGCTGAGTATTTATACTAATGACAAAACTATTTATCTTGTCTTAATAGTAAATTCAACAGGACTGATAAGGTAAAACTAGCAGCTGATCTCTAAAAAGAACCTTCAATCAGTTGTTAACAAGAAACAGCTTGTAAATTTTAATGCCTCCAAAATGAAACTGCTATCTTTAAGCTAGAAGCATTTTTACTTTCCATCAACATGCTAACCTCCAAGAAACTCATTGTGCCTTCTTGGGCTAATGTTTTCTATAGACATGAAGTGAAATGATTATATTGAATCAATTGCTTGGTCTGTTGCTAGGAAAGTTGGTTCACTGTATCGTGCAAGACAATTTTTCTTGCTAGAATCCATCTGGCACATTTATAGGCATACCAGACCAGATGTAACAGATGTAATATTCAATGCAGGGATGAATGGTAGATTTATGAATGTGCAAGACAACTGGCAACTAGGTCTCATTGTTTTGCAGTTGAAATAGATAGATGCAACCGTAAGTTCTATTCTAATAGTTTCTTCACTCGCACTTCTTGTCTGTGGAACTATCTTTCAGCTTCAAAAATTAAAATGCATCGTCAATCACCATCTTCTGTCTTCTTGAATCTTGTTCTTTTATTGTTCTTTCTCTTCACTAAGGTTTTTCTCAATCTCATTCAGTAACCCTTTGCAGCTTACTGGATTTATCACCTTGCTTAGGATGAAACGATTAAAAGAAAAAAAAAAAATAACAGCACTAAGTCAAACAATTGTTGTATGCAGAAAAACAATTCATTCAATATAAGCAAAAGATATCAAATATATGATTGTAATGTTCTAGTTCCATGTGCCATGCCTCTTCCAGATGTCACAGTTATTTCCCTTTAACTCAACTCTACCCCAGTGGACAAAATAAAGGGTTCAGTTCAAAATTCCAATCACCTAAAGAAGGCCAGAGCGTACAACGGCCGAAACATTGTGAATATGGCAATAAAAGTTTGAATAATGTAAATAATGCAAGGAAACTATCTCAGGCTGCCCCAATTTCCTCTTTTAGTCAACGTCCAAAGATGGAATATTTTACAGCACAGTCTTTTCAGAGGATTCAAAGACTAGCCTTGTCAAATTTTTAATTCCAGTAATTAAAAAAAAAATTAAAACTCTTCATAAACCAAAGGACAAAATTTGTAAACCAATTAAAGAGGTTTAAAAGAAAAGAAAAAAATGGTGGAGGTTGAAAACTTACTTTGTCTCCAGAGACTGGATAAGCTTTGCCTGACGTTTGACTTCATTTTTTAATCTTTCTGTCTCTGTAAGAGAGAATTCTGATGATTCCTTGAAAATTTTATGTTCACCCTGTAATTAAAAATAAATTGTGACATTTTGGTAAGGAGAAAAGAAAAAAGAGAAAGGAAGGAAAAAATCAGAGAACTAAATTTTTCAAATTTGGTTCAAGGTTTTCGCAAACATACACCAAAACCAATAAGACAATTTTAAAATATACACTGATATGTTCTAACAGTACAATAGCAGCAAATAGCACTTTACATTAAAGAAAAAAAGGTATTAACTCAATCAAATACTGTATTTAAGGTCATATAATACCCAACTTTTTTCCAAAAAGATGACTCAAATAAAAAAAAAAAAATTATGTGGGAAAACTGTGGCATCTGATACATTCATGTTTTCTCAAATGACATAGACTACCAAAATTTGTACCTGTTGAGTTAAAAGCCATGGTCAAAATGCAAAATAAATACTAATGAACAGAATTAATAAACTTTGCAATAAAAAGAACAAAAAATGATTATATTGAATCAATTGCTTGAACAAAACTGAGATAGTATGAAGCAAGCAAGCAAACAATATATGCAAAGCAAATTTACAGGTACGAAAGCAAAATGTTTACAAACCACGAATTGGCATCTACACACAAAAACAAGGTCAGACAAGTGAATGCAGTGGTCTTTCTTATAGACAGGGCAGATTTGGATGGAGTTAAATTGTAAACTGACCTATTTTATTGACTAAGAAAAATATCCCAACATGCATTTTGTGAACTTTTGGCTATAAAAAGGAAGTGGGAAAAGTTTTGTAGTCATTCCCATTACAGATTGAAAATCAACACCTAACTTGATAATATTGTAATATTAAATGTAAATAGTATGTATGTGCGGGGGGGGTGCTCATATGCTACCAAATACTATAGCTATGAGGTCATAATTAGCATAAAAGGAATATTTGGAAAAGTGAAACAACTTTGGCAAAAATATACATTCAGGCAGCACCCAGTAAGAAATAAACCCACAAAAATGTTTGTCATCATGTAAGCCACTGCATTTGAGTCAATATTTGGTCATATTTGCAGGATAAAGTTATTCATAATAAAGTTAATATCGACCGAACTCACTAGTATCATCAGTGACCATATGAATTTTATGATATTCGCTTTATTATTCTTGAACCTTAAAGAGTCCAATGACGTCTCATTATGTCACAAAGACTGCACCATCATCATTATTTTTTGATCTCCCTATGGTTGATTGGTAATCCATTGACAAACTCTTTCCATACTATGCCATCATGCCACCACAAAATTAGTAGCATATTAGTAGCATATTTCAGAAAATTTGCAATAAAATTGAAGTGCCAAAAATAGGTAAGGAAATAGTGTAGCTGTGGCAGCCGTAGGAAAACAAAATATTTATTTGAATATTTGTTTTGTTAAAATTACCTGTATGTTTCCTCGTCATTACCATCCTTCATTAACCCTCTTGGCATGGGTAAATTAAATGTTCATTTTAACCACTAAGCCCCACGCCAATATAGGTACACTTTACCTTTTTATCTATGGGGAATTTCACCTACCTCAGTGAATCTTAAACGTTCTTGAAGGCTTCTTATTGTAGATTCCTTTTCAGCCAATTTTTTTTCAAACTCATCTTTTGCCTGAAAATAATCAAATACTGATTTAGGAAAAAAAATGCACAAAGCCAAACTTAGAAAAAGAAAAAAAAAACATTTTGTTCACACGGTTAAATAAAGACATGAAGAGACAATCAAAAGATGCCACAAATGTTTTTCAAAATGTTTATTATTGTATGGTAATTGTTTTACTTTCTTTTCATAAATTAAATTCATAAAATTGAGGTTAATTATGTACAAAAATCTGAGATAGAAAAAAAATTCCAATAATTAAGAAATAAACTGTCGGATATCTTTGATAGAGAAGCATCTGTATGATCGATCAAGAAAAAAATAATCATTGAAGATTGTGTGTTTATAAACAGTAATTCAGACTTTGCTAATCAGATGCTTCTCTGTAGCTGAATGGTACAGCACATCAGGTCAAATGACAGTTTACATATAGGGATACAAGTTGGATTCCTGTCAGAGAATGCATATTTTCTACAAAATTCCTCAAACATTCAGGCCGGTAAATATAATACTGTTTAATTAAAAGAACAGAGCATTTACTTAAATTGGATCTATAAAAAAATAACATATAAACAGAAAATATATTATATATACACACACACATATATATATATATATATATATATATATACACACACATACACACACATGTGCGCGCACACACACACACACCCCCAGACATGTATGTATATATATATATATATATATATATATATATATGTATATATATATAAGAAATTTAGGTCTGCAATTCCAACAGTTATAAGTTATTGACAAATTATTGGAAATACGCTCATAAGAGTATAATATCCAATAATGCATTTCACTTATTATCACATATATATATATATATATATATATATATATATATATATATATATATACACACACACACACACACAAGGTGATTGTTACTTCTTGACAGAAAACCACCATCTCCACAACAAATTTCTTTCTTTGTTTTTTTTGTTTTTTTATAAGGCTTTTGTGCAAATACTGCACCTGAAAGGGAGATCCCTCAGTCTAAAATGTACTGCATTGATGGGAATTTTCCTGTGTCTTCTTAATCCCGAAATTGACTTGCATACTTTATGACAGAGTGTACAAGAAAGCATATATATATATATATATATATATATACACACAATGTTTATTAATGATTTTATTTACTACCATTTGTTTATTTTTCTTCTATTTAAAAATAGATAAAAATGTTCAAGTACCTGGTTTGATGGATCTTTATTGAGAAAGCAAACAACTTTGGATTGTAAAGTTTGAGAAAGTCTGCAAAAGAAAATCAATGAAATAAAAAACAGAAAGAAACCAAAATGAAAAACATCATTTACAAGTGACAGCTTTATTGTTAGTGCACGGAATTTAAATATCTTAAGGTTCATGTATGAAATTCTGTTGTTTGACAGATGGAAATGATCATACAATTTTATAGATAAGATGAATCCATCATATGATCCTAGAATCCTCAGTATAAGAGATCTTATTTCTGGTGAGTAATTAGTAAACTCAGATAATCACCAAGGAAACAAACACAAACTTCAGACAAGAACAAAATTCCTCCCAGTTTGTATTTCTTAAATCTTCATTATCCAAGTGGTTTAAAAAGATTCACTTTTTCATTTGAATTCAATGCAACTTTTAATAATGTGAAACAACACTACTTAAATTGACTGAACCACTCACAAAAAAGTGGGGGGCATAATTTTTGTAAATTAGAATTCTTTAGACCTTCCTGAATCCACGACATTTGCTATGGATTGGATTTTATTTGCAAATGTCAAGTTTGAAATTGTGCATGCTACTGCTGCTGTAAACACACACACAGAGCAATTCATAACAGTACACAGTTATCATAACCTGATATTTGTAAATAAAAATAAAGTACAGATAGTTCTTTAAAAAGTCAGGATTTAATCTGACAGTTTTTATATTATGAAGAAGACCCCAATTCTAAAATGATAAATAAATGAATATTTTTCAATTCTGAAAAATGCCATGGCTTGAGGAAGGTCCCTAGGAACTCTAATACACTAAAATTTCGTCTCTATTCTTTTTTCAATCTGACTAGCCAATTTAAGTCATGCCAAAACTACTTTTAAAAAGTTAAATTATTTGAAATTATTTAAAAGTTAAATTATTCAAATCAGTAACATTTCCTTTGATCAAAATAAAATAATATTTTTATCAAAAACTAGCAGAAATACTCAGCTGGTCAATCAGAAAAAGCATTCAATTAGAATGGAGCAAAAACAACACCATGTTTAGATGTAAAAGAGTCTATCTTCTTCAATTACTTTAAAGTAATTTCATTAAAAACATTCTGAATTAATACAGTTACTGATATTTATTCAATTGAAGTTAGCCAAGGATATGAAGGGGTAAAACAGGCAACATGAAGACCCACTTCAGACCACAATTATTTTGGAGGTTTTGGAATTCAATTTGTCAGTGTGCTACCAGGGAAGTAAAAGAGGATACATTTATAAAGCAATTGTTAAGTTTGATGAAAATTGGTTTAAAGATCAACAAAAAATAAGAAAGAAAGCAGTAAAAATTACCATTTTTCACTATTTACATGGGTTTTCACTATATGGCTGGACTCAATTATCATGTTAAATGACTGTTAAACAATCAACTTATTGTTGACTACAATTGAGTGAGGCTTTTATTTGATTGTTTAAAAATTGAGGGGGTTTTTAGTTTAAAATTTGTGTTGAAATCAATTTTTCATTTTTCACTAAACGCAGTGGTGTAGAAATAAAAATGAGGTATCGGTGAGCTTGTCATGATGTAAGTAACCTAAATACCGAGCTTGAACGAAATTGGAGGAAAAAAGTTGAATTTATCGATTTTTTATCAGATCTATCGATTATTGATTTTTTAATAAAAATTATTGATTTTTACACTAAGAACCCATCTCTTACATTGTACAATGTATGTGCCAAGTTTGGTCAAAATTGGTTGGATGGATCATAAGTGCAACAGTATCAGACAGACAGAGACATCCTGTTATATATATATATATATATATATTTAAATAAAAAGAAAATATAAAAATGTTACTTACTTATCAGCTGTTTTTAGTTTTTCTGTCACACTGATCAACTGCTGTTGAGTGTGTGTAAGCTGTAAGTTTAATTAAGGAATAAAAAGCATAAAATATTTTTTATTGTTTATTTTCATGACACCTTTCAAATTTTTGTTGCTTTTTAACCAAAGGTTTTTAGCCAATCAAATCTTCAATGCAAGCACCACAAAACCAAAATGAAAAATTAACTTCAAATTTATGGGATATGTGGGTTCAAGTATTTTGTAAACAACCTCTTTCAAGTTTAAGTCATTTATTTTAAGGGCCAAGAAAATAATGGTAAAAACATTGTGCTAAAAAACAAGAAAATGTGATTAAGACTTAAACTCATCAGAGAATTTGTTAAAATATTAATGTTAAAAATGTTGCAATTCTGAAAGCCTTTTGCTACTTTATTGCTATTTCCATGGTAAATGTTCAGATGAGCTCCATTCTTTAGTTCCACCAGTTCAGACCTTTACAGCTAGGACATTTACAGTCTTGTGAGGAAAGCCATATTCTCCAATCTGCAGCCTCTTACCCATAGATGCAATATTGCAAACCTTTTGCTACTTTATTGTCATTTCCATGGCAAATGTTCAGATGAGCTCCATTCTTTAGTTCCAACAATTCAGGCTCACCATGCTATGTCCACAAAGTTGAATCAATTCTCATTCTTTTTGTATTCCATTAGTCAAGAGGAATTTCCACTTAGCGTTTAACCAAGAACTGCAACCTTCTGAAACAGATTTCCACATAGTCCCTGAACACTACAATCTTAACCATTTCAAGTCAATTGTTATCTACCCTTCTTATATTTACTTACCAATTTCAAACTCTTATATTCATAACCCATAAAAAAAATTACCTATTGGAAACTGAGAGATATGGTGAATGAATTGGGAAGGTGTTGGGTGAGGAATTAAATGCTGATGGTAGCAAACACAACCAGCCAACAGTGAGGGATTGAGGTCCTCCTGAGAGGATGTGGTATTATGGTGTATGGGTGATTGATTGGTGACGGACGAGTTTATGGTGAATGCAAAAATTGTAATGAGTGAATAGATTGTGATTAGCTAGGTATAAGATGGTTAGTGATGACCAACTCACCCCCCTCCCCTTTTTCGGCCTTGTGCCATAATTATGTATTTTTACATAATAAATATTGTGAGGGATTGTGGGTAAAGGTTGTAGTTATAAAAGAAGAATCAATAGAGTAGGGGGTGCCTTTTTATGGTTGTCAGATTCCTGTGGACATGCTGTCAACTGAAAGGAAGAAAGTCAGACAGAACGCTAAAGGTTAGAAAACAGCTAACAGATGTAAACAGAAACAGAAGACAGAAATTTGTTACATTCCCATTGAAACCAAAGTTGAAAGAAACCCAAGTGCATTATAAACTTTACTCTTCTGCCCCTGAACTACATAAGCCTCTATCTTGAGTGGATCTCGAACTTTGTAATGGATGAACATTACTTAGTCTGACTGTAAATAGATATCCCAAACCAGCCTAATTTACAATGCAAAAATGGGTCTGTTATGATGTTGATCTGGGGTTAGTAGAGACAAACGCCAAATAACACGTAACAAGAAAAAGGGTTTTAATAGGTTGGTAAAGAGGTACAGAAATCGCCTGAGTAGTCAATAACTAGCTCAGCTAAGAACTTCTCTATCTCTCTTTTGACATGCCCCTATTTAAAGTCTTTGTTCACAGACAAGTTCATCTTTAAGAGGGGTGGTAGGTTTCCGACACAACAGAGTCAAAAGAGTAAAATTTCCTTATACTTCAACTGGCAATATACTGAGTATTTTTAAAGTTATTTTGATAAAATTATATAAAGAAAATTTAATGTTTTCTCTTTATAAAGATAAAATTCTTTCTGTTGTGTAATAATTAGTTTTTATTCGACATTTCTTTAAATGAGATCACATTTCAGTGACAAGCACTTTGTTTTCCACATTTTAAAAGGAGAGAATTTTAGGTTTTGAAATTTGTTGCACTCAGAATTGTGCATTCTTACCCATATCAAAATAGTCCCTATCTTAAAGAAAAGAGGACACAAATCAATTTGGTGGGATTAAAATAAAATTTGAGATTATTTTTCACAAAAAAATTTCCAAGTTGAAAACTTCAGTGGATGAAATACCAGAGAAAATCACTTCTTAAAAAAACTAAAATTACACCACCTTATAGAGCAATGTTCCGTCTTTAATAATCAGTTGGTTTCATACCACTACATTCAATGGACATTTCAGTTTCTAGGTGAATTTGAAAGGTATTTTTTCCAACATCTTATGTTTTATTCTTTTGTATAAAAATCAATTACCTGTTTGTAAGTAAATAGGCATTAAAAAATCATACCTGTTTCAAAAATAAACTAGTTTAGGTATTTATAAATTATTTTTACAATTCTAAAGTTGTATAAAAAAAAATTATTTTTCCAGGCATTAAAAAAAAACTAGTAATACATATTTTAATCAAATTTTATAAAACTCGTATTTGTCCATGGAAAAAAAAAAGAAACTTTGTGTATGTAAAATAATGTAATTTTTAAATGTACATATATAAATCTTATATTTACCAATGGAAAAAAAAAGAAAATTTGTGTATGTAAAAAATGAAATAAATTGTCATTTTAAAAATGTGTATTTATAATTTATTTTATAAATCTTATTTTTATAAATTAAAAAAATATTGTAATTTTAAAAATGTCTATTAAAATTTTATATTTGCTAATTAACTAATTTTGAGGCTTAGCTCCTAATTTCAGATTATATTGAACATTTATTTAAGCTATTTTTAATTAAACTCGATACATTTTATAAAAAATAAAATGATATATTTTTCAGTTGAACTATTGCATATCCGTAAATTACATTTATAATTTCTAAAATTAAACATTATTTTTTTTTTTTTTTAAATAGGTATTTCTTAGAAGATATTTTTTTACTTTTAGCATCAGAAAAATATTTTTTATTTTTCTACCAATTTCAAATAATTAATTTTTGGTAATTAGTAAATACTTCTTTTTTAACTTTGAAGTAGGTTTTTTTTTTTTTTATTTTATGGTAATTTTTTTTATTTTTAAGCATATTTTTAAATTTTAATTAACAGTAACACCTAATTCAACAAGAGTAAACATTGCCTTTCAAAAAAAGAATGTAACTTTCAGAACATTTATTTTTATGTAAATTTTCAAGTGTTGTATTTTTTTTTCTTTATAAAGCGAAAGCCTAAACTTTTAAAATTTAAGACATTTATTTTTTTGTAAAAAATTTTTTATTTTTTTTTTTCTGCTATGACAGGTCTTTTTTTTTTTTTTTTAGTGCTTTCCATTTCTGAAGATTATTTAGATTTTTAAATTTATGATGATGACTATTCAAAATCTTCTGTTCAGTGGATGATCAACTAAACTTCCTGAGAGATTGTTTTTTTCTTTTAAGTGAAAAAAGAGGCAGGCCAAAGGAGAACCCAAAGTCCTTGCAATGTACGAAATGTTTGCTGATGCAGTTAAAAACACTGTGTGATGAAAAGAAAATCAGTGTTGTGTAGAGGGGGGGGGCTTAATGAAATGGCTGTAACGCCCAATAATCTGAGTGCAATTCTGGTAAGGTCTTATCTATTTTATAACCCAACTTCTGTAAATTTTATGCTTTTAAGGACCATGAGGGAAGCACTTAAATAAGTGAAGAGCTCACAGATTTAGAGGACAATTTAAAAAAAAACAATTATTTTCCCAAAGTCTTTAAATAGCACTCCTCATTTTTTTCCCTATTTTTTTTTTGTGATACAAGAATTGTATGTTTTTATTTGCAGCTTTTTGCATGGTTCTGTAAACTCTATCCTGGATGGAATAGTCAAGAATGATGAAGCAAGTTCAACAAACACTTAACACAGACAAAAAAATTTTAACCACTAAAGGAGAAGATGACTTAGGGCCTTTTTAGATTCTTCCCGTAATGCGTTTTTTTGTAGCTGATGAACTTACTGCCATTGAAATTACATCACAGGAACTTGAAGACCCAGTGACTAATTCTGGTTGCTACAATGAAGAAGAAGAACCATATCAAGTAATCTTCAGAGACAAGAAACAAGGCCAATGGGTTGCCATATATGACAATTCCAGTTTTTATATTGGCCAAGTCATTGACATTACATCTCCAACCAGTGCAATAATCAAGTTTCTAACTCCAACTAACAGTAGAAACGATTATTTCTGTTAGCCTTTGGTGGGTGTCATTGCACAGGTCAAGCCAACTTTTGTCTTAAGATAGGACTTATGTGTAATGCCAGTTTTCAAGTGAGGGTAAAATCTGGAATATTCCAGAAATATTGGTTGTAGAAACCTATAAAGAAATTCAAACTGAAAATCACCATTAAGAGAAGAAGTGCAGTAGAGCCATTCAAACTGCCCAGAAAGTTTTTTTTCATCAGTTCCAATAAATGTAGTTTTACTCATTTCATTTTTGGGTTTGTTTTTTTTTTTTTTTTAATTTAAAAATTGAATTTTAAGGCTTTACAATAAGCATTTCTTTGAAAAAACTGACCACTGATTCCTTTTGTATAAAAAGTTTCAAAGTTTTGATTTTGTCAGTCCTTTTTGGGTAAGTCAAAAGTTTTATAAATTTACTAAATTTTCAAAAAATCAAATACATTTATGAGAAAAGGTTTTAATATTACAGACAAAATAACTGTTTTGTTGAATTCCTCATTCAAAAATGAGTAAAGTTTTAAAGTTTCAGGCTTGTAACCAGATACCTTTTTACAGCAAGTTCAAGAAGGTATATTTTTTTTACCCTTTTTTGTATCTGTACTTACATGGTGAAATAAGAGTTGTTTTACTGATGTTCTCCTGTGAAAAAAAAATAGCTTAATCTCTAAGATACTATGAAACATATTAAGACGTTTCAATGACTTAACTGTAGAATTGAAATTTATGGACAAAGTTTCCTTCCTGGGTGACTTTTGCACGGTTTTTAGAATGGAATGTGATGTGCCCCCACCCCTGTTTAGTCAGGTCTTATCTTACAATTAATTCCATTAGTATTATGTTTCTTTTATGACTTAATGACATTGCATTTATAATGATTCTTCACTTGTTTGAAGCTTGCATCTTCACATATACAGTGTTAAAATGGGCTTCTGGCCCAATCACATAAGATGGAAAATCTGCCGAACTTTGAATGGTCAGTAACTCGGTTGCTAATTGAGCTGAGAAGATAAATTTTGTACCATTTTTTTAATGTTTTGTCAAGCTCTATATGCCTACATGAAAAGCTTTTAGAAATATTCAAAATAAAAAATAGTTTGGGATACCTACTGTAAATAATAATTCCTCATCCCAGAAATTCCAAAGAAATGAAAATATTTATCTCTAACAGATGTATAGTTGGTATGAGAGACTATGGCTGGAAAAAGATGGGTACTCATTAGCCTGAGGCTGAGATAATTGTCAGGGAAGAAATTGGGAGTAAGGATGCCAAAGTAGACAGCATCTACTGATTTGTCCAGCAGAAATGTGGTTTTCTTTGTTTAGCAAAGTTAGTATTGAGTGAATTCCCTCATTTGGAATCACCTGGGTATATGGATGTACCTGATACTTAGGAAAAATAGAACAGTCCAACTGGTATATTTATGAAAATTCTTGTAGCCGCTAAAGATAAGCTGATTCAAAAAAAAGTGTCAGACCATGGGAGTTGTCAGATCACAGAGTGCGGATTAAAGAGGTTGGACAGTACTATACTAAGTAGTTAAAATAAAACTAAATGAATTATCAAAAAGTGGCCTGAAAATGGATTATGGCACACAAAATGGATTAAAAGCAAAAAAAAAAAAAAAAAGATTTGGAGTTGAAGATTTTTTAAAAAATCATTGGATATTAACAATTCATTTCAAAATCTTAAAAAAAAAAAAAAAAAAAAATAATCAAGAAAAAAAAAATCAAAGGTGGCTTTAAAAAAGGATATCATTCTTCTTCAAGTGAAACTGCTTGATGATTTTACTGAAAGAAAGAAAGATAGAATGAATGAAGGAAAAAGAAAAGAAAAAGAAAAAAGGAAAAATATAAAATTTGTCATGAAAAGAAAAAAATATTTTCAAAATTTTACACAAAATGGCCAACAAACCAGAAAAATGAAGCAAAAACATTAAAAGATAAACAAAAGTGAAACTGATGCACTCACAAAAAATAATGTTCAAAAAATCTCTCAAAATAACAAAAATAATAAAACTTACAAAAAGAAAAGACAAAAACATTCAGTTATTAAAGAATTGTATTTTTAATCAATTTCTACAGAGTGCAACAGAAATACCTTCCACATAATGGTAAGGCATTAGTGCCAATGGTTTCTTCATCTAGCTAATGTCTTACCATTCTATGGGAGATATTTCCGCCACACCCTGTATTTACATTTTACTTCTTTCATCTGTGTGTGTGTGTGTTTGCTGATCCTGTAGAGTCCCCCATGGATTACAGAGCTAAGTGTGCTGCAGCTGCAATTTCAAGTATATTTTACAAAGTGGCATTGCCAACCCCACACCAAAACCAGTTTGAATTTACAATTGCCCTTCTCCTTACTAGACTGATTGCCACACAAGACACAAGAACCCTGCCCATTCTGTTGTTTTATCTAAGATCTGATGGTAAGAAGAGAGATGAATCCAAGCCTTTCCCAAAGGGAATCAGCATAAAGTGAATACAAGAGACTCGGAATTTGAACTCAGTTCAACAATTTATTCCCCACGTGAATAATTATATATATATATATATATATATATATATATATATATATTAGAATAAATATACATTTGTTCCTCACTGTTTGATGCAACTGAGTTTCATCCATGTAATAATCATCAGACACAAATTAAAAATGCACCGTTGTAAAATGTCAATAGCAGTCTATATACTCTTGAGAAAAATAAAGAAGTTGGCTAAAAATAAATTGATAAAAGAAAATTATATATGAAAATTTCTCGGACATTCAGGCCAGTAAATGTTGTTTAATACTGTTTATTATGAAAAGAGCATTTACTTAAATATTTGTATCTATAAAAAGAATGTATAAACATAAAAAGTGTCTTAAAATAATTGTCAGACTTTGTCCATTTCATAATGTTTGATGTCATTTGTTTACATTTGGATATGCCATGAGCAGATATGAATGTACATGAGAGAATCATGGAAGATTGTAGTTTAAAGACAGTAAAATTGACCTTGCTAACCGAACGCTCCTCTGTGGCCGAAACAGTTAAAGGCACGTCAGGCTATATGACGGTTCCATATAGGATACAGGTTCGATTTCTGTCAGAGGACGAATATTTTCTATGAAAATTTCTCAGACATTCAGGCTGGTAAATGTTGTTTAATCCTGTTTATTATAAACAGAGCATTTACTTAAATATTTGTATCTATAAAAAGAATGTATAAACATAAAAATGTCTTAATATATATATATAACATATACATGAAGGGTAGACAATTAATTAAAAATTTAAATGTTCATCAATTTGGTTCATCATTTTTTGTTTATAGATATTTATTTTTTTTAATGCACTGTTTTATTGACCAGTCTCACTGTGCAACTCATTTTCCACAATTAATTAACTTTTTTCTTCAATTTTTCAAAATCAACTTGAATTAAGCATGTTCAAACCCTCAGTCATGAAAAAACAAATAGCATAACCTTAAAAAAATTGTTTATGTAAAATTTAAAAGATGTTAAAAAATGATTATAATTTGAGCACTGTTTTGTTGAGCCATTAGTACTTATTCATGCAACTTCATTTTATGGACAATGGACAAAGACCTAACAATGGCTTTTCATGTTAATTTTTTTTTTTTTTTTTCAATTGCTGTTCTGGACAAATTTCCTTAGATGTGTGCTTCTCCAATTTTCATGTCTCTTATTGGTCCCAATGTGTTGTTTTTTTTTTTTTAAATTCAACTACCTATTAATTCTTGTTTTCAATTTCCTCATTTTTTTCTATTTCAATTTCCATGTCTTTGTAAATTTTGAAGCAAATTCCTTGTTTTTATGTTACAATCCATGATGAGGCAAGTTTTTTCTTTCTGGTTTTTGAAATGATGTCCGCTTTCTTCAAACAATTTTTCTGTCTGTGTGGATGGTATAATCCATGGTGAATCTTCTTTTCTGTAAAATGTTCATACCAGAAATTTTTTTTAAAAATTACCCCACTTATCGTGGATTTTTATATTCATTTGAAAGTTAGAACATCCTGATTAGGATTGTTTCTTGAAATCTTGTTTTTTCCACATTATTATTTTATTATTATTAAACTCTGGTTAAAATAAATTCATTTCATTTAATCCAGATGCCGTAACCATTTATTAACTTTATCAACATTGTTTATTTTTTCATTTGTCTTTTCATCTGTTCACATTTATTCTGGCTTTTTTTCATATCTTTTTTTCCGTTGGTTCTTTTCTGTTTTGGACCTAAAATGTTGTTTGTATTTAATTATTGAATATTTTTTGGTTTTCATGTTGTTTCACTGACAAATCCAAAAAAAAATGAATATTGTATGATAGAAAACCTCTTCCACCTTCTTTTATAAGGTATGGTTTATATCAGTTTGGATGATGCATCTTATATGTACTAAGAATTTCTTTATCTCCATTTGTCTGATGTCATTTAGGACTTCAAGATTTGAATATATATTGGACCAATTAGATGGCAAAGAATATTTTTCTGTTCTGAGAATTTTTCAGTTTTTTAATCCAACTACAACAGGGATTTTCTTATGATGTTCCTTCCTTCATTATGGATAAGAAGTACAGTGGGAAACTAATAGATTTGTTGTAAGACCTAACCAACTGTAAATTTAGACATTTATCAAATTAATTTCCAATGTCTTCACTGACATTTTTTATTTGCATTCCAACAGACAATTTTAAGTCATCAGGCAGAAATAGATAAGATAAATTTTTTAACCGCATTCTTCTTGTTAAGTTGGCTGGTTAATGCTATATTATTGTTGTTGTTGGTATTATTTCCTCTATTATTTTTATTGTTATTTCCATTTTTATTCATAAAATTTTTCCATATCGGTTTGGTTGAAAACAGGTCCTTGTCTCTTAAAGACCCAAATCTAACTCTTTTGATGAATAATCTCATCAGGGAAGGGTTTTTTTTTTTCCCATTTCCACCTAAAATGAAATTGGTCTACATGAGTGATTTTCAAATATAAAATTTTCTTTCAAAAAATGGTTTTTTTTTTGAATCATCTTTGTAAACTGGAGACCCCCAATTCCTATAGCCATGCAGACTTGATGGTTTTTGGGTAGAAGAAAGGTTTTTTTTGGTCATCTATTAAATGTTAAACTATTTTATTAAAATTAAAAGTTTTTTTCTGATAAAGTTTAATTAGCAGCTGATCTCTTCAATGACCCCACAAAAAAAAAAAAAAAAAATGTTTACCAATAAAGTGCAACTCTGTATGTTTTATAATTTTTGTCTTGACATGAAATGGAATGATTATTATTGAATAAATTGTAAGGTCTTATTATTATGGAGAAATGGTGAAAACCCCAAAGTTTATTCACAAGACTCTTCACAGTGCAGAAATTTAAGATAAATTTTATTATTATTATTATTGTTGAATCCATTTTGTTGCATTTATAAATATTATTGTTATTCATCCATGCATTGAATATTGCTGCAAGAACTGATCTGGTAATTTGCCATTTCATGTCAAGATTCATATGACAAAATCCCATGGTTTTTTATCATCTTTAAACTAGAGGAGCCATAAAATTGGCCCCAAATTGATCTGGCATCTCAAAACTATTCATTTCCCAATCTTTCCCAACAAAAGAAATGGCAAAAAATTCAGTTCTGTCTTTTCTTTTTTGATTGATATTTTGGAAAATTATATTGAATAAATTGTTCTAGCTCTTTATTCACTGGTACCTAACAATTTCTCTTGCCATATGAATTTAAAATCTATTTGAATATTGAAGAACTGATCTTAATCCTCCCATTATTTTGACAAAATCTAAATGAATTCCAAAATTACCTTTTCTCAACTTCATTCATTTTCCCATTACAACATGGCTTCCCTCTGCACAAGGCATTTTTTCAGAATTTCCTTTTGAAGCATAATTTAAACAAAAAAGATTGGCAAGTGGTCAATTACATCAAATTAAATGAATTACCTTTTTTTCTCTTAATGCAACACTGAAATATAGTCTCAACACAGATTGCCTCATTTGTTCAAATGGTTTCATTGGCATGGATTCAAAGCAAAAAAGAAAAACGTGGACAATGTTGTACAAATACCTTACACGGTAATGTGCAGTTTTTGTGGGGGGGGGTTGTACGTGCCAGCTTATATCCCCTAAGAGATATTAAGTCAGACTTGAAAACGAGTGAGGCATAAAGAAAATCTACTTACTCAGTTGCTATGATCCTTGATTTCAACTTTTTCAAAACAGTTTCTCTGTTCTTGATGGTCTGAAAAGAAAAAAAAATATTTATTAAATTAATTAATTAAATTAAAAAAGATTGAAACTAGAATAGAACTGAAATACTTCAACAAAATAAATTTAACAAAGTATTTTGACAATCTTTAACCTTTGTGCCTGCCAAAAATAGACAGTGTCAAAAGTATGATTTTTCCATGACACCACTATTTTTTTTTAACTATCATCACTCCTCATCAATGTTTATTGTTTAAAAAGTGATTAGAATTGTAATAAAACCTAAACATATGGAGAAAATGAATTTATAAATTTTCTTTGTTCTTGGGAATTGGAAACAAGAATAATAAACACTAATTATTTTATTAGATTGTTTATTGGAATGGCTGGAAAAAACATCGGCAAATTGCCTATCAATTCGAACTTTATAAAATGATAAATCATAAGCATTTCCTTATAGTTTGTACACATATTTTAATAATTTAGTAAATGTTTATAAATTTATGAAGAAAAAAAATTGTTTTGATATTTATTTCTTTATTAATTGGTAAATGATAAATATTGCATTGCATTAGTTTTAATACAATTAGTTTTTACTTTTTAGAATGTTGTAAAATTATTCTTGTAAATAAACAATCTAATAAATAGTGTTTAATATTTTTGTTATAAATTCTCAAGAATAAAGAAAATGTATAAATTCACTTTCAACATTGCTGAGGAGTGAAGGTAGTTAAAATAATAGTGGCATCAAGGGAAAAACCATCCTTTTGACATGTCATTTTTTTATTTTTTTTTTTTGCAGGGATGTCAGGATTTTAAGTCCAACTGTTATGGGAGAGAGAAGGTAGAAAAACTATAATGGCAACTGTTTAAAGTGAAATTCAGTGCAGAAAGAAAATAATGATAACAAATTCTTACTTGTAACTGGTGTAATCTTGCGGTGACAATCGTTTGTGTCAAAAATTACAACAAAAAAAACACTATGTTGCCTACAAGTAATTCTTCTTGTAGAAGTAATAAGAGAAAAAAAAAAGAGCTAGGACTTAATTAAAAGAAAAAAACCTGTAGTTCCAACGAATGATTTTTTTTTTATTCATCGGAACTACAAGTTTTTTTTTTAATTATGCAACTACCAACGGAGACAAGCATCCTAACTTCGAGTTAGGAGTCTTATTAACAGTTTCGGCAACACATCCAATCAGGTTTGAAAATGAGAGCAAGGTAGAAAATAAGGAAGTAAAATATTTGGCTAAATATTTTAGCATTTTATATCTCTCTCTTCTTTATGCAAATTTTGACTCCCCTTCAGTGAGATTGGGGGGGGGGTAACTGGAACTCATTTCTATAAATTTTCTGTGAAGACAAAATAATATCTTTCATTTTATTTTCATCACAAGATAACAATTGAATTCCCACATTACTCCTTCTGCACAAGAGTTTCACTAAGGTAAGTACGTAGTTTCTACAGACACAAAGATCCAAAACTGCAATATTTTTCATTTTGAACATAAACTGAAAAATACTTACAAGTGACATAATGAGTAAGCACTTGAAACTGACAAACTCAAGAATTATTTGAGACTAATATCCTCATCTTTGTTGGCCTTATCACAGCTTTCTAACCAATGCATTTTCCAGCTTTCCAAAATTTGTAATGAAATGAAAGATATTTCATATTATTTGCCATTTATTAAACTTTTTTGAATTTTTACTTTTATTCTAAAGCTATCTAATTTTTAATTCCCTATTTCTATATCTAATTTCTATTAATATATCTATTTTTATTAGCTATCTAATTTTTATTAGCTATCTAATTTCTATTATTTCAATTTTATTATAATAATTTTTATTAGCTAATTTTATTTTTTTTCTATTAGCTTATTTCTATTAGCTATCTAATTTTTATTAGCTATCTAATTTTTTATTAGCTATCTAATTTCTATATCTAATTTCTATTAGCTTATTTCTATTAATAATTTTTTAGCTTAGCTATATTATTAATTTCTATTATTTTATTAGCTATCTAATTTCTATTAGCTATCTAATTTTTATTAGCTATCTAATTTCTATTAGCTATCTAATTTTTATTAGCTATCTAATTTCTATTAGCTATCTAATTTCTATTAGCTATCTAATTTCTATTAGCTATCTAATTTTTATTAGCTATCTAATTTCTGGATTCCTTATTTCTCCCAATTCTTGAAATTACACCAAAAAAAAATATTTTGAATTCATTTCTTTTTTTCTTTTTTTTTTAATGCAATGTCTATTCAGGATGTTTTTTTGTTTTTTTTTTACAATAAGGTTCACCCAACCTTTACAAAACTCAGGCTCACTCAAGGTAGAGGGTTACATTAAGGGGTAGTTTGTATGGATAAGCGGTTAAGCTAATGGTTAACTCTAGACTTCAACAGGTTGTAGTGATCAGGGAAACATCCTCTTGGGAGTCGGTTCCACAGAGCAGTGCTTCACAGAAAGAAGCTGTTTGAGTGGGACTTACTTCTTGGCCAATGGAATACAGAGGGAATGTGGGTGAAATAATTCTCCTCCAACAAAGGCTCAGAGACACTCTTGAACTCTATGCAGACTGGAAAGTGAGGTCTGGGCAGCTCCCACCAAAATATGGCAAAAGTATTCTATTTTTGGCCTGATCTGGCTCTTATAAAGGTAGAGTATAGCATGAGAAGTTAGGTACTTACTGGATCCGTACAGGGAGCCAATCATTTTACCTGCATGTAGGCAATCATGCATATCCTCAGACTCCTTTTCTTCATTATCTGTGAACTGCCTTTTACCTTTTCAACAATTTTGAATTCAGAGTAGCCATTCTCATAAATTTAATGCACAGTTAGGGTCAGATGAGATGGGTTCATGTTTTTCCAAAGAATATGAGTGCAAAAGTGAATGCAACAGACTAGGTCAGAATTTAAACTCAGTTCGCAGATTCCATTCTCAAAGGGTCTAACCATCATACATCATTCAAATTTGCAACGGTGGCCAGGGGCAGTTAACAAGAAAAAAAAGTAGGAGCAGCAAAACAACAAACAGAGATAAGTAAAAGTTTCCTCGTGATTTACAAGGGTCGATTGTTTACTCATGCTGTTATATAAATAGGAGACCGAGAGTTCATTCGGGTATAACACGAGGTAGTCGAGTGAGATAGACTCATAAGAGAAATGTTCCTTGAATTGTTACATTGTAGGAGTCAAGATTTATTCTCTGTAGCTACTGCTGGTTTCATTGCTGACCAAAGGGATCGCCATTGATAGGAGTGGCTTGATGTTGCTGCTGATGGCCTTTGCAGTCTTTTGCATCAAGGGGTCCCATTGCTAATGCCTGTGGGTAAAAGCATTGACTTTATCAGTAGTCAGAAACAGCTGATGTGTAAACCACATAGGCTTTTTTTTGGTTGGTCAGAAAAGGCGTTTTATGGTATTTTTGGACAGTAGTCCAGAAGTGAGTGCACAGGAAAAGAATTTTTAAAATCTGACTTTTTTTCTTTTGTCATTTTTTTAAAACTTACATTTTCTTTTTGTAAAAGAAAAGAAATTCTTTATATTGTGCAAAAATTGCTTTTTTGAGGCAACAGTTTTTTAGTTTAATTCTTGAAAAAATTTTCAAACATAAAAATTATTTCGCTTCTAACCACAAAATGTTTTTTTTTTATTTCTTCCAGAATTTAACAAGGACCAGACACAGAAAAAAAAAAACAATTAGAAATGTGTACACAATTTGCTGCAAATTTTATACTTGTTTTAATTTTTTTTTTTTTTTCAAATTTCTTTTACTAGGAATAAATGAAAAAATTCTCATTCACAGGGAAAAAGAAATACCTTACTTTTATAAAAAAAAATTAAATTTTCAAATAAATTCATTCAAATATTTTCTAATTAAAAATTTTAAAAAGAAGATATCTTTGAGTTGGCTAAGGGGAAAAAAAATGAATGATTTGATGACCCTCAAAAACACGTGTAACTATTTTTCAAACAAAAAGAGTTTTTAATGAAGAAAAAAACACTTTCTATTTTCATTCATTTTTAATAATTAAAAGTAAATTCTTGTTATTAACATACAAAAAAGTTTCATTGTTATTTATTTACTTACAGTCGAAAAAAAATAAAGGTGGACTCTGTTAGTCAATTGAATTATTTGTTGTTTTTTTTCACTCTTTTTTGTTTTAAAATAATTCAAGTTTTCTTTTCGTCATTTAAAGCAGGAAACAATCAACGTATAAAATTCTTCTAAAAATGTTCTATTTTTTAACTTTATTTAAAACTTTTTTTAACAGTGATTTTTTACCACTACTTCGCAAAAAAAAAAGATAACGTTTTTTTTATTGGAACCGGGAAGTGAACGGTAGTTATTAAAATAAATTAAAAAAAAGGCTAATAATAAATAAAATTAGAAATATATTCTACGCTTACCTTGGAGAGTTTTTGACAGTTTTCACAATACTGTGTACTCTCCAACCATGATTCTAAATCGTCGGCCACAACAGGACTGTTGAAGTTTTCCATCGCCGACCACATATCTTATGTTATCCATGTGCTTTTGTGTTGCAAAAAGGCCGACACGTTCGTTTTACGATTCGAAGACATTTCAACTGTTCTGTTAATTAATTCCATTAAGAAACAACATTAGTCAATGTGAATCCGTCAAGATTTTTACTTAATTTTCAAGAGAAAATTCCTCAAAAAGTAAAGCGGCTTTTTTTTTTTTTCACAATATCACACGGCAAAAATTTCCTCGTGGAAACAATCGCAACGTACGAATAACGCTACCAAAACCATGCAACTTACCTACCGGAAGTAAGGAATTATCTCCCCTTTTTCTCAACTTCCGGTTAATAACGAATATTAAAAAAAATCATCTTCAATTTTCACTTAGACTAGAATTATTATAAACTAATTAATTAATTTTTAATAGTAGTAGTAGTAATAGTCGTCGTCGTCGTCGTCAGGTAATTAATTTGCCTTGTGTTTAAGGCTCACTAGAAATTAACACCAGCACCGACCGACTCTTCGGTGAAGAAACGATGGTTTTAACTGTATATAAATACTTGGGTGTCTTTTATCAGTATAAGAGACAACTAATTTACATAGATCTAATATTGTTTCATTAAAACAAAATATATCATAAAATATTCTATTTAATATTGCATAATTATCATATAATATTACAAAAGTTATAGTTTATATACAATTATTTATAGATAATTAGCGTTTATATACTATAATTTATAATAATATAAAATTATGTAACGTGTATGCATCAACTTCCGGCTATTAGACCTTGACCTTTTTCGGCGATTTTTATTTTTTTTAATATTGAATAGCGCTTATTTTTCGCTAAAGGAAATTGATTTTTGTTCCTGTTTTTGTTTGCCTGTTGTTCAAGGCAGAAAATAAAGTTTTTAGAAGACTATGTTTTGCTCTAAAAAATGGATGGCTACACAATGGAATCCATTTCATTAATTTTTCAACCGAAGCGAAAGTAAAGAATTAAAAAAAAAAAAAAAAAAATAGTTTAATTAATTTTTTGTATTATTTTAAACTTTACTTGTTTATTTATTTTCAAACTTTTTCAAAATGTTGGGTTTCTTTAAAAAAATAAGTCAAACAAAAAACAGTCTCATCCGTCCGTCAATCAATTTCAATTAAAATTTAGTTAGACCGAAAGTGAAACTATATTTTTTTTAAGAGACCATCAGATTTACTTTTCTTATTTTAAATATAAAACTTTATTTATTTTTTATTAAAATTTTTTGTAATGTAAGATTTATTTAACGAATGGGTCAAACAAAAAAAAGAGTTTCATCCCCAGGCGAAATAAAAATGTGAATCAAAACTTCAAAAGATTCTATCGCCGCCGAAGACATTGGTTTAAATTTCAATTTTCAACTTTTCTGGGTTTTTTTTTTATAATTTTTGTTTGTTTTTTTTTTTCTTTTTTTTTTTTTTTTTTTTTTTTTAAGCGTACCCATCCCTCGCTTCATTATCCATTGTCTTCAATAATAATAAACTAACTAGTTTTGGATAGTTGATGAAAAAACAAAAATAAAATTTCAAATTCTTTACCTAAAATTCGTTTTTATTTTTTTCACTCCCAATCTCTCTCTAGGGCGGGGCCTCAAGTTACGCAACACGATTGGATTTTCTTTACACCTAACGTCAAAGATGCAAAGGGTAAAGAACAGATACGATTTTTTTAAATTTTCTTCTGAATTCTTAAAAATTACTAGTATTTATTTATTTTTATATTGTCTATATTTTGTGATTTTTTTTTTCTGCTTGAATTAACTAACGTTAATTAATTATATAATGGAATAAGTTTAATTAATTAAAAAGATAAATGCGTATGTAACAACTTGTCGGCTTTAAAGCACAAAAAATAATTAATTAGGTTCAAGCCCATTCCTGGGAGGGGGTGGGTTCCTTTTTCTTCAGGCAATTGTTCTCATTTGAAACAGGACTAAAAAAAAGTCATTACTGGCTCCTGTGGTATCACCAAAAGAGTATATTTATTGTATCAAAAATACAATTTTCGCACAAGGCCAACAGGGAAGTAGGGTGAAGCTGGTCATAACTGACTGTCCTAGAGTTTCCTAAACTTAAGTAATCTTATTTGCGACCCATTCATTTATTACAATTTACTCAATCATCACAAGAATTCATTCATCCAACATATACCACAATACTGCATATTCAAGGGTGTCCTACAAAAACACCTAGAGCAAGAGATTATTTCAGGTTTGAGTCTCTGGTCCTATGTATACATGAGTCTTCCATGTTAAACTCTATAAAAAATTTTAATAAAAATTAAAATTATATGAGAAAAATTAATCAACATGTTAGAATTGTGTAAAAATTAATATAGGAATTATTTTAATAAAAATGATAATACTAAAATTATATGAAAAACTAAGAAAATGTTGTAATGTGTAAAAATTGTAATAAAATTATTTTTAACAAAAAAGATATTGAAGTGTTAGCATGCTGATACCACCTTTTTATAAATGTTGAATTTTGTACAAATCTGTGCAAAAAGTAGATCAAAGAGCTTACCCAGCTTCATGCATATTTTCAGGAAATCTCAACTCCTAATTGGTCAATAAACACACAAGTGGGTGTTGCAATCCACCCACATACAAGTGTTTTTCCAGCACATGACCAAGTCAAGTTTTCCCACTTCTTTTCTAGGAGCCTGTCATGTGATTATGTTAATTATAAATATCAAACACAAATTTGTTCTTTCTCTTTTCTCTTTCCTTGATTTCATTCACCTACGAAAATGTAACCTTAAAGGAAACTGCGTTGCAACCAGCAACAAGAACTTTTCTCTTTAAAATACTCTGACCAAGTTTTCGCACACATCTTTACAAAACAAAATTGTAATATTCTGCATATAAAAAATTTATTTGTTGTTCCAAACATATCCTTTTTGTCATAATTGAATATCGTTATCATTTGATTTTTTATTTAAATTTATGTTTGTGAATGTTGTATGTTTCATTTACAGTGAAACATTAAAATATTCATGCAGCCTTCTTTGATCCAATACAAATTGTATAAAAAACTTCTGGTTTACTCCACTTGTCTTTGTCAAAAATGCTCATTAGGATGCACTCTTTCAGTTCATAAAAAAAGCATATTCTCTCTTTTTCTATTTTTCCTCTTGCTTTCAGATGTAGTTAAATGTAGATAAAGAATGCTACCATTGGGGCGCATTCGCTTCCTTAATACTCCATTGACTAATTATAAACCGAACATCATAGAATCCTGCAACAATGTTATTAACATGGTTACTTTGAAAAAATAATGAACTTAAAAAATAACATAGTTTATAAAAAGAACATGAATAAAATTGATGTGTAATGAATTGAAAAAAAAATAGAGGCTGTAAATTTATATTATAAAAACCCAACAAAATAAAACTGAACAGTTTAAGTTTTCCATGGCAAGATTTAACAAGATATGCTTGACTTTGATGTTACCAAAAATCAACCAAATTTGAATTGAAAACACACAGTTTTATGGAAGCTCACACAACACAACCAGCCTTACCTCTTTGTAGGAAATGCACTCTTCCTATCTGGTAAGCCAAATTCTACTTTCAGACAATATAACAAGTATTCATTGGTCAATCACCTCCAATCTGGCTTGCTGATTGGTCAGTTCCGACCAATCTGTTTTCCCGCCCATATGCTGGGAGCCACTCAGCGATTATAAAAACCAAACACGTGTGAACCTTCCGAGTAGTAATTACCAAGTTCCAAGATGTAACCTTCACCCACTCCCGCCTTAGTCATTGCTGACCAGACGTTAAAGACAATTACCAACAATTCACCAGTCAGACCTCCACACCTAGAGAGATGCCCATCAACTGCACGCCAGTCAAAACTCTGACTTTGCTGCGCAAAAATATTCTCTGACTCAGCAACCTTCGAGCACACTCTATCTCTCTCTAGAACATTTCTCAAACTTCACTTATTATACTTTCAAAGTGATATTTCTCACTACATAACAAGTATCAGTAACTAACAATCTATTTTTCTCAAGCAGATAAAGGTACGCAACTTTGAACAACTTTGAATATTTGTATAAACACACTTACGTACATACACTAACGATTCAACCTCAACACCGAACATTTTTGTATGTTGATCAAACAAACAGTTTAATTCTGTGAACAAATCTAATCAATACCTGCAAACGCACCCAAACATTCACAATAACACAATACACAATTAAATACAGTAATCCTCATTTATCCATCAAATCTTAAACCCACAATATATTAAATTGTATATAAATTGATGTTATTGTTATGCATTCAACTTTTGTCTTGTTTTCAACTTTATTTGCGTGATTTGTTCCAAGTATTTGTTCTAAATAATTGTTGTGGACAAATGTTGTAGAACAAGGCCTCGAAATTCCTTCTGATCAATTTAAACACAATCACCAGTCCGCAACAGTTTAATGGATAGTGATTCTCAAATTTTTAACCAATTGTGATAGAAATTATGCCTCTTCCATCTAAGGACATTGGTTTTGATCCAGTTAGTGTCATTTGTTTGCTACATAACAAGGAACATTTTGACTGCAAAGTTAGAAAGCAATCAACCACACCCAGCCAAGGAAGTTGTTATCTCAGACCAAAGTGTATTCAACCTCCAAGGTGAGAAAAATAGAAGAACAACCTACAAGACTTCTCTTTTCTAAACCTGTTAGAGTTTATCTCATAGTTGAGAAACCTATTTCAAAATCCTAAGTATTTTGTCAAAAGGATCCAGAGAACGAACTTCATCCAATATAGGTCAACCTTTGAGCCTGTGTGAACGTACTTACACACGAACATATACATACAAACACAAAATCACATGTACAATGCCAAATGATCATTGGCTAATAAATCACTAATATATTTTCTACAGGCAATTTACAAATCGCAGTAAAACGACAATTTTGGAATCGCTTCATTTTTTTAAGTAGTCACATTTGTGCACTTTTGGGAGAAG